CAGTGGGATTGTGTTTCTGGGCCCTATGGGTGCAACAATCAGAGAGATAGTTCTTGGCAGGCCACCACACCCAGAGCACCATAGAGACAGCAGAATGAGATGCACCCCTAGTCTTCACGTGAAAAAGGCCTATTTTCTTGCCCTGGAGCTTCATCCTGAGGGGCAAGCTTCAGATTCATCACACATCTAGAGGCTATGGAAATGATGTCAGGGAATGTATATTCTGCCTGCAAGATGCTCACTTCAGATGGAAGGTCACACACAGATTGAAAGTGAAGGGATGGAAAAAGATGTTTAAGGCAAATGGAAACCAAAAAAAGCTGGGGTAGCCATACTTGTATCAGACAAAACAGACTCTAAAACAAAGACTAATAAAAAATAAAGAAGGGGTCAATCCAACAAGAACATGCAACATTTGTAAATATTTAAGTGCTAAACATAGAAACACCTAAAGGGAGAAATTGATAACAATACAATAATAGTAGGGGACTTTAATAATACACTCACATTGATAGATAGATAGATCATCCAGACAAAAAAATCTATGAGGAAACATTGGTGTTAAATGACATGTTAGACCAGATGGACTTCATGGATCTATACAGAGCATTCTACCTAGAAGCAGCAGAATACACATTCTTTTCAAATGTGCATGACATAGATCATATATTAAGCCACAAAAGGAGAGATCATATATTAAGGTCACAAAATAAGTCTCAATAAATTTAAGAAGATTGCAATCACATCACATATGTTTTCTAACCACAAAGATATGAAACTAGAAATCAATTATAGGAAGAAAATTGGAAAAAAAACCCCACAAATATGTAGAGATTAAACAACATGCTGTTGAATAACCAATGGATCAATGAAGAAATCAAAGGAGAAAAGTGGGAATGCAAGCTGGTGCAGCCACTCTGCAAAACAGTATGGAGGTTCCTCAAAAAACTAAAAATAGAACTACCCTACAACCCAGCAATTGCACTACTAGGCATTTATGCACGGGATACACGTGTGCCGTTTCAAAGGGACACATGCACCCCAATATTTATAGCAGCACTATTAATAGCCAAAGTATGGAAAAAGCCCAAATGTCCATCGATGGATGAATGGATAAAGAAGATGTGTGTGTGTGTGTGTGTGTGTGTGTGTGTGTGTGTGTATACTGGGGAATCAAAAAGAATGAAATCTTGCCATTTGCAACTACGTGGATGGACCTGGAGGGTATTATGCTAAGTGAAATTAGTCAGTCAGAGAAAGACAAAAATCATATGACTTCACTCACATGAGGACTTTAAGAGACAAAAGAGATGAACATAAGGGAAGGGAAACAAAAATATAAAAACAGGGAGGGGGACAAAACAGAAGAGACTCATAAATATGGAGAACAAACTGAGGGTTACAGGAGGAGTTGTGGGAGGGGGGATGGGCTAAATGAGTAAGGAGCATTAAGGAATCTATTCCTGAAATCATTGTTGCACTATATGCTAACTAATTGGGATGTAAATTTTAAAAAATAGAAAATAAAATTTAAAAAAATAATAAAAAAAGGGAAAAATAAAGATACCCTAACACAAATGGAAATGCAATATACCAAGAGCTGTGGGATGGAGCAAAAGCACTTCTAAGGGGTAAGTTTATAGTAAGATAGGCTTACCTCAATAAATAAGAGAAATCTCAAATAAAAAAAAAATATATAACTTTACACCAAAAAGCATGAGAAAAAGAACAGATTAAGCCCACAGTTGGTATAAGGAAGGAAATAATAAAGATCAGGATGGAAATAAGTGAAATAGAGGCCAAAACGACAATAGAAAAGATCAGTGAAACTAAGAGCAGACTCTTTGAAAAGATAAACAAAATTGAGAAAACTTTGGCTATATTCACAAAGAAGAGAGGCTCAAATAGATAAAATCAGAATGAAATAAGAGAAGTTATAACTGATATCAAAGAAATAAAAATAATCAAAAGAGACTACTATGAACAATTGTATACCAACAAACTGGACAACTAGGAGAAATGAATACATTCCTAAAAACATACCATCTTCCAAGACTGAATCATGAAGAAATAGAAAATCTAAATAGGCTGATTACTAGTAGGAGATTGAATCATTAATCAAAAATCTCCCAGCAAACAAAAGTCCAGGACCAGATGGCTTTACTGGTAAATTCTATTGAACATTCAAAGAGGATTTAAAACATACTCAACTCTCCCCAAAAAATGAAGAGGAGGGAACATTTTCAAACTCATTTTATGAGACTAGCATTACCCTGATGTCAAAACCAGAGAAGGACACCATAAGAAAAGAAAATTACAAGCCATTATCCCTAATGAATATATATACAAAAATCCTCAACAAAATATTAGCAAACCAAATTCAACAATATAGTAACAGGATCATACATCCTGATCAAGTGGGATTTATTCCAGGGATGCAAGGATGGTTCAATATCCATAAACCAGTCAAGGTGGTATACCATATTAACAAAATAAAGGATAAAAATCATATGATCATCTCAATGGATGCAGAAAAGGAAAAAAAAACTTGACAAAATTTAACATCAGTTTATGATAACCCTCAACAAAGTAGGTATAAACAGAATACCTCAGGATAGTAAAGTTGTTTTATGACAAGCCCACAGCTAACATCAAACTCAATGGTGAAAATCTTTTCTTCTAAGATCAGGAACAAAACAGGGGTGCCCACTCTCCCACTCTCACCAGTTTTATTCTAAATAGTACTGGAAGTCCTACCCAGAGCCATTAAGCAGGAAAAAGAATTTAAAGGCATCCAAATTGAAAAGTAAAAAGCAAAACCGTCACTATTTGCAGACAACATGATTTTATATATACAAAATCCTAAAGGCTCTGCCAAAAGGTGTTAGAGTTAGTAAACAAATTTGGTAAAGTTGCAGGGTATAAAATCAATATACAAAAATCTGTTGCATTTTTATATACTAACAATGACCTATCAAAAGGAGAAATTGAGAAAATGATCACATTTACAATACATTAAAAGAATAAAATATGTAGAAATAAATTTAACCAAGGAGGTAAAGACCTGAAAACCATAAGACACTGAAGAAAGAAACTGAAGATGACACCCAAAAAATGGAAAGGTATCCCATGGTCATGGATTGGAAGAGTTAATGGTTAAAATGTCCATACTACCCAAAGCAATGCACAGATTCGATACAATCCCTATCATAATTCCAAACACATTTTTTTTCACAGAAATAGAAAAAAAAATATTTAAAATTTGAATGGACCCACAAAAGATCCCAAATAGAGAAAGCAATCTTGAGAAAGAAGAACAAATCCGGAAGCATCACATTCCCAGATTTCAAACTATATTACAAAGCTATAGTAATCAAAAGAGTATGTATTGGCATTAAAAGTAGACACAGATCAGTGGAAGAGAGTACAGAGCCCAGAAATAAACTGACGCATGTATGGTCAATTCATGACAAGGGAGGCAAAGATACACAATGGGTAAAGGATGCTCTCTTCAATAAACAGTGTAGGGAAAACTGGACAGCCACAGGCAAAAAGAATGAAACAAGACCCCTTTCTTACACCATACACACAAATTAACTTAAAATGGATGAAAAATTTGGCCAGTCCTCCATTTTCACTTATTCCTACCTTACACTGTGTCTGACATCCCCAAGTCTGGAGAATCCCAGGTTAATTTTCTCCAGGGCACAGTCTCCCATCCCTGACTGAGGTGTGGGTGGGAGCACAGTACTGTGTATGGGGTGGGGGTAGTTGCTAGCAGAAAGGAGCAGGAAAGGGCACATGGAGGCCTGAGCAGCTCATGTTCAGGGTTTCGATCTGCTCCCGCATCAAGGCCTGAGACTCACACCTGTCGTTCTGGGTGCCTGGTTCCTCAAAGGCTGACAGCTGCAGGTTCTGGAGGAGGACTGGCCACCTCTCATGCTCTTGTACCCCTTTGCCCACCAGTGCACACCCTCACTTGCAGCTAATTGCTAAATCTTTACCATTTTCCTCTTTGCTTTCCATCTTTCAAAAACTGATTAAATCTTTCATTTGCTGAAGTCTCCTCTTCTTATCTCCTAATTCCTTTCCTGTCATCTTAGGGAAACCTCTGGATGTCAGAGATTTGGTTAGAAGTCCCTTTGGCTATGTTTGAGCTATTAGGTAGTCTGGCCTGTGGGGAGATCACCTCAGTTTCTGCTTTGAAGGTTTCTCCTCTTATAGTAATAACAAAATGTTGCCCATCTTTCTGTTGACCACTGCTGGTAAAAAGGACTCTCTCTTTCACCAAACTTTAGTCAGACTTCTCTGAACCCTCTTCTGAACTCAGCCTTGACCTTGGCCGCAATCCTGTCCTCAGCTTGCCTAGCCAGTTCTTAGCAAGAATCATGTTAGGTCAGGTTAGCAGTAATCCCCTATCCTTGATGCTCCTCTTGGTGATTTTCCATCCATGGACCCCTCACTTTGCTCCTTGGCTATAACAAATCCTCACTCATCCTTCTTATACTCAGGGTTGAGCTCCATCTTTCTGCTCTACTGCAACAGTCTTGGATAAAGTCTTCCTTACCATTTCAGCAAGTGCCAAAATAACTTTTTTCTCTAACACCAGTGATTGAGAAGCAGTGTTTAATCAGGGACTAAAATGGGAACTGGAACGTTGGTTTTTGCCTCATAAGCACTTGGCTTGGCCTATGTAGCATAGGAGGTGATTTTCTGGGGCATGTTTCTTTCAAACTGTGAGCTGCAACCCATTAGTATAGTGAAATCAGTTGCTAAGTCACAACCAACATTTCAAAAGTGAAATCAAGCAGAATTGGCAAACACCACTGGGCACTGCCTGTAGTTGGGGGAGGTGTTGACTCATGAAACCTTTGTTTCAGTTCATGTGTCTGGGTATTGGGTCAAGGTGTCAATATATTCTGACTGGAAACTGGGAAAATCTGAAAGCCATTGGTTCTAGGAAGTAGCTTTGAACCTTTTGCTTTTTTTTCTAAGAACAGCTCTGCCAGTCAGACTGACACTATCATCTCAACCTTAGTGGGGATGGATTTAGCAAGGTAAGTTCTCAGCCACCAGTGCTAATATACTGATTTCTCAGTCTCTTTTTTACTGTAATCTTTTCAGCATTATCCTTTGGTTAAGGCATTTTCCTAACTTTGTCTTGCTTAAGAAGGCCAGGATACATGAGAAGAACTTCATTTCTGAAGGTGATGAGTAGACAGTGAGAGAAGCACACCATGTCAGTACCAAACAGATTAAAAGCAATAGCTAAACTGACGCCCACATTTCTGTTTGGAGTAAAATGAAGCCTTTGTGAATAATCTGTATTTTAAATTATTAGCTCTTGGGAACCTAAGAAAGGAGCATCTGATTCAACTTTTTATTACCTCTTGGCAGGTGGTAGACATTGAGTAATAAAGGATTCGTGGCAAGATTTAATGCTTGGAATCACAATATAAGTAAAACTAATTCTACAGAAGGACGATAGACCATTGGAGGTGCTGTGGCTGGCAATTCTGCCCATTGCTTCTATGCCTTGAGCGGTTGTGATTTTAACTGGTCCACACCCAGACCCTTCACAATTTTGTTTTGGGTAGGGAGAGAACTCAACCACTGGATACTCTAGAGGGTACACATGAGAGGTGGGTCACCCAAGGTTCAGGTGAGCCCTATGTGGAAAGTTAGTGAACCTCAAGGATCTTTTGGGAACCCTGAGACAGGACTTTTTGATCAGTCAAGAAATGGGGATCCATGTTAGCTTGGTTGTCTACCAAGAGCTGAAAGTAGTTGATTTTGCTACTAAATAGAAGAGTTGAATTTGGTGGGGATTTGTATTAACTTGATCCTTTTGTTTAATGCTGAGTAGTCATTTGGTGAACTCATATAGATAAAACATCAGATTTTGAAGCAGACTTGATTCATCCGTGTCAAAAAAAAAAAAAAAAAAAGGCATATCAAGCCCAGAACTATAACTTAAAACACTTTACTTAAAGAAACAAAACACCTGAAAAGAAAAAAGAAAAAGAAAAGAAAATAACTGGACAAAGAAATAAAAAAAATCTAGTATATGGAACAGACACATTTAAGTAAGAATTAGCCCAGGGGACTTATTTTTAATATAAGAATGCTCCTCCTTGCTTTCTAACCAGCCATCAAGTCTCTCAGTCCTTTCCTTCTTTCCCTTCCTTCAACTGAGTTAAATTTGGATGCTAAGGAAACCATGTGATAACTTTATTTTTGAATTCTTCTGTTTGGTTAAAATGGTGGGAAAGTAAGTGACTCTTAAAAAGCTAGCTGCCAGGGGAAACATTTATGGATTAGAAGAAGCCAGTCTTGCTCTGTGGTTGCCCATTGTGTAAATGTCTACATTCTTTTTTTAATTGTTATTTAATTATTTATTATTCAGTATTTGTTTTACAGCCAAAGCTCCCTGGAAGAGGAAATTCCTTTCCTGCAGAGCTCTCCAGGAGAAGCAGAGAAAGATCTTAGTGCTCAGAGATTAGCTGGGATTGCTCTGGAGGCATGTGATGATGGTCATAATAGCACCAAGGAATGACATACTGTTGATTTGCTCTCAGGCACAGTACCAAGCATTTGACCTGAATTATTCAATCCACACACCAGTCACATGAGACAGGTGTTTTTAGTTGTCTCCATTGTACAGATGAAGAAACTGAGGTGGAGTGGGGTTAAACCACTTGTCAGGATCAGTACCAGCATTGGATCCCTGCAGCCTGACCTGGGGTCCTCGGCTCTGACCAACTTGGTGATGTTGTCTCCTCCTGGAAGTTCTTACTGATCACTTATAGACAGATCAGGGATTTCTTTATGGCAAGGTATATACAAAGGAAAGTGCCGATAGTCTTTTTATTTTTAAAACCTTCAAAGAAAGCAGAAAAGTTAGAAGCAGAAACAGAAGAAAAAAAGATTTAGATCAAGTAGTAATTATTCAATAACTCAAGTTTAGAAAGATACTAGATTTGGGGCACCTGGGTGGCTCAGTCGGTTAAGTGTCCGACTTCAGCTCAGGTCATGATCTCAGTTTGTGAGTTTGAGCCCCGCAACGGGCTCTGTGCTGACAGCTCAGAACCTGGAGCCTGCTTTGGATTCTGTCTCATTCTCCTCTGCCCCTCCCCCACTTTGTGCTCTGTCTCTCTCAGTCTCTCAAAAATAAATAAAAATGTAAAAAAAAATAAAAAAAAAGGTACTAGATTGTATGTGATTTTTTGTATTTCTTTTTTTTTTTTTCAACGTTTTTGATTTATTTTTGGGACAGAGAGAGACAGAGCATGAACGGGAGAGGGGCAGAGAGAGAGGGAAACACAGAATCGGAAACAGGCTCCAGGCTCTGAGCCATCAGCCCAGAGCCTGACGCGGGGCTCGAACTCACGGACCGCGAGATCGTGACCTGGCTGAAGTCGGACGCTTAACCGGCTGCGCCACCCAGGCGCCCCTGTATTTCTTTAAATGATCCTTTAAGCGATTTGCAGTGTCTCTCCTCTAATAAATAGACTTCGAGCAATTACATCATTTACACTAATATTTATAATTCTTGTAGTGGCTTCATGGTTTCTTTGTCCTCTTTTCTGTCAGACTATCTTGCAAGGTCCACCTGCATAGCCTCACATTTGCCCACATTTCTTCTAATGACAAAGACGTGACTAGGGATAGAAGTCACAGAAAGCCATTGGACAAAGGCCAACATCACTGCCTTGGAAATTGCTTTCAGTCTGGGCCCTCTCTCTGGCTGTTCTCTTCCTAATTATTTTTACTCTATCTTTAACATGTGATGCCTTCATTCATTCAATGCTCCTGTGTTTGATGGTCCCAGGTACTAAGGTGACTGCTCTTCAGATCACTTCTGTTGTGTTTGGGGGCAAAGGAGAGGGGAAATGACCTTTTTCATGGCAAGAATATTTCAGGTAGAGCTGGCAGGAAATCCATTAGTCAAATTGTGGTTAGTGTCATGGACCTTAAACTTCACCAAAATGAAGGGGCACTTTTTATATCAGCTCTTCTGTTTTTGTAGCCAGGATAGGACCACCACTATGCCCCATTGTTTTTTTGCCACATGTTATACATAACAAGAGAGGGCACAGAGTTGGTTGTTTTTTTTTTTTTTTTTTTTTTTTCATGATGAAAGGGAAGAGTAAAAGAAGATAATCAAAGGGACAGGAATAGACCCTTCAAGCAGAATTTTCCTTCTGTAACATAAAGGAAGTTTTTTAGACCTAAACTTTTTAAATAAGAGACTGATGCTCTCTTCTATCATTATCAGAAACAATATTATTAGTTATGTATTAGAAAATAATTGCACAACTTTACGATGTATCAAAATCATGGGGCTGACATTTTTCTCCCTGAATTTTATTTTATTTTGTTTTTATTTTTTTAATGTTTATTTATTTTTGAAAGAGAGAGAGAAAGAGAGAGAGAGAACATGACCAGGAGAGGGGCAGAGAGAGAGAGAGAGAGGGAGACAGAATCTGATGCAGGCTCCAGACTCTGAGCTGTCAGCACAGAGCCTGATGCGGGGCTTGAACTCATGAACTGCGAGATCATGACCTGAGCTGAAGTCGGATGCTTAACCGACCAAGCCACCCAGGTGCCCTGAATTTTATTTTTTAAGGTCAGAATTTGCTTCCAGCACCTAAAATCCTCCACTGCTGATATGGATAATGAAATTGTGTAATTGGAAGAAAATTTCGTATGTTTTGAGTAACTTGTCAGCTCCTTTTTGAGTAGTTGAAATGTTTGGTTTAGTTGAGTGTTTCTGATCCCCTGTAACATTAGTCTCCGGCAAATCTGCAGTCACTTCTGAAGGAGGAAAATGCAAGGCTTGTGTGAAATTAGTTTGTGGGTAATGGGTAGCATACGAGACATGACTTAAAAGATGGTAGGGACCCGGGAGGCTGGGAGGCAGGGGTGGGGTGAAATTACTGACAAGAGACACGATAGTCCTTTATAAAAAAAGCATCTGAAGAATTTGGCTTATTCATCATTTTATCTAGCATCTGCTGTCTGGAGCAGTGATTCCAAATTCCCGACCCATTAGGAGCTGAAGCACCCTGTTGCTGTTAGCTTGAAAATATAATTCCTTTCTCTCTCTCTTCTTAAAAATCATACATCCATTAAAAAAAAAAAAACTAAAGCAAATTTGAATTTGTGTCCTTTTAAAATACATTTTTTTTAAACTATAGGATTTAAAAAAAAATGGTCTTCTTGAAATAATTATAGTCCTCTCCAGGGAGTCATGAAACCATAACTTGTCTAGAGCAGCATACGTTTAGACTTTCATAATTACCTGGTGAGTCAGCACTGGCTGACGTCCCAGGAGTCTGTTCATACTGTGGGGAATAATTTTCCATTCCTGGGGGAGCCCCCAGGAGACACCTTCTTTGATTCCTCAAGTCAGAGAGGTGATCTGCCTGGCTGTCTTCCTCACAGCTCTGCCCATGTCCAACCACATCTCATGGTGTACTGTGGACCATAGAATTTCTATGTGACTTACCCCTCTTATTAGATTTTAAACTCTTTGCCAGAGGGTCTGTATTTGCTTCTGATGTTTATTGAAGTAAATTCTTAAGTTCAGTTTTGGGGGTTAGGTTCTTGCTTGTCTTAACTAGAACCAGAGTGCCCCAGAATTGGAACAAAGTTTTCAGGATTGGATGTCTTAAAAAAAGGCATATGCTTTGAGATAACCTGAAGGGACTTAAAGATATGAGTAGGTGTGAAATATTCTTTGACGTAGGCATTCATCAAACTCTTCATGGGGGACAGAATTAATTTCCTAAACTCTGAAAGAGAGTAATTTACCTAAGACAATGCATGTATTCAACAGGTCAACAAAGTGACTACTTGTTTCTTTCAAAGAAACCTGTTTCTGGACAGTGTGGTGAATACTATTTGGAAAGAAGTAAAGATTTGGAACTGCAAGTCCTGGATAAATAGCTATTTTGAGTGTGTTCTGTAAACAAGCCCTTTAGGAAGATGTCCAGATTGCTGATCTGTCACTACCTCCTCCTGGTCGTATGGAAATCCATAGTCCAGATACCTAGTTTTGAGGGCATGGAGGCATACCTCCCCTGATTTGTTAGTTTTTTCTTGACTACAGCTGGGGATGAAGTTCAGAACAAAAGGTAGATGTCTAGACTCATTGCAATGCATTCACTTCTTCCTAAAGTGACAGAATCTTGCTTATGGCTTTCTTTGCTCATTGCTTCAGGCCAGCATTTCCTTAAAGGAGGAATGACACTGAAAAGAGTTCAGTGCAAATTGAAGTGGGCCTTGTCCTCCGTTCCTTCCCTCAACACTCCTTTTTCTCCTTCCTACTCATCCCTTAGGCATTGAATAATCAATAGGCTTTTAAGGTCATAATTATTATCAGCAAGGATCATGGATAGATGCTAAACCTTTGGATGGAGGGTTATTGGGGGACAAGGTATTCACACATACCAACAGATGAGTCCAGACTCATCTACTAATTGCATAGAGGAAAGGTGCCTTTTACAACAGAGAGATCTGATGGTCATCACTTTACTCAAGTGACCAAACTTGATGGAGCCCTTACGGTGAGACAACCTCTGAAGAGGATGCCCCATGAACTACACAACACTACCTATGAAGTTCTCTTTCCAAAAATGTTTGATTCGAATCTAATCAAGCTTCTAGGCCTATCCTTGAACCGAGAGGAAATAGACTAGGTATAAGGTAAACAGCAGTATGATGAGACAATCAGCCAAATCAGAATAAGGGAAATGTTACAAAACTGTCCTGGGCTTTTGAAAAAAAAAATCAATATTATGAATAAAAAGTGGGGGAATTGATCTATATTAAAAGATTAAAAGAGTCAAAAGAGACATAACAATCAGATGTGGTGTGTTTATACCCTGATCAGATCCTGGTTCAAAATGATACCAATACAAAGAAGAATTTGATGATAAAGAACAGAAAAGGAACAGCTATTCTGAGAGGCATTGTGGGAACAATTGGAGAGATTTGAATGTAGACTGGGTATTACATGATAGGAGGGAATTGCTGTGAATTTTATTAGATGGGATTCTTACACTGTGGATTTTTGGATGGACACCTTTTTTCTTAGGAGATGTACACAGAAGTATTTAGGGATGAAAGGTCACATTTAAAGGGTTCCAGCCTGCAGATGTGGAAGAATATTGAGTCTAGGTGGCTAGGGTGAGTGTTTTTTGAACCATTCTTCTAACTTGTATGATTGTTTAAAAAAAATTTTTTTTTAAGATGGAGAAAAGTAAAAAATGAAAAGATGGGAAGTGGAGATGTTTTTTCTAATCTGTGAAAATTAAATCCAGAACTGAAGAGAGAACTGGATGAATTACTTTTAGAATGAGGGGTTGGGGAAGAGCAGCAAAGAATTTCTCTCACTGGCTACTTGCTGCTTGCCGAGTGAGTTGTTGTTTTTCCTATCTGGTGCTTGCTAGCCCTTTCTGTTCCCTTCTCCTCACTCAGAGCAGTCTTCCTAAACTAGCCTTAGAGTCTAACTTCCTCCATCCTTCTCTTCTTAGTCAGGTTCACTGGGTCCCTTTTAACTGTTAACATCACACCTGCCCAGAATTCTTTTCAGTTTTGGCTCACCCCAAACCATTTTCTTCATCTGACTTGTGGGAGCCACAGTCCTTCACTCTTGGTTCTCTTTCTTCTCAGGCACCTCTTTTTACTCATTCTGAAAGTACTCTCAGGGGGAATTTGCATTTTTATTAAACCCACCTAAGGGGATTTTCTGTCTCCAAGAAAAGAGACACTGAGTGGGTCATGAACAATTGTGGGTGTATATGTGTTTGGTGATGATTGTGACAGTGATTGAGGGACTCCATTTATCACCTTGTGTAGTTTGTTTCAAAGGGTCTTTGTATCTAAAGTAAATGTTTGTTGAGGAAACAAATCTCTGGTAAGTGTTAAGTATTGACTGCTCTATCTTGCAGTTTAGGGTTCATGCGCCATTTTATCCCTGCATACAATCCTGGATGCCCAATAATGATTGTAGCAGGACCGTGATTTAAGCTTAGGGC